TGCTGCCGACTTGGTCACCGGCGCCGACCTCGACGCCGCCTTCGTTGTTCACCGGTCGAGGAGAAATGGGTCGAGCAGGATGTTCCGCCGCCCACACGGCGCGGATGCCCAGCTCGACGACCTCCAAGGGGAGGGTCTGCCTGTACTCGCCATCCTCACGGCGTTTCCTCGCATCAGCTAGGCGTGTCTCCAGGGTATCCACGACGCCCGCGTCACCTACGGGGCCAACCATTGCGACCAACGCTGCTGCCGGCCTACGAACAAATTAGGTAGTGCGCACCTAAGTCGGCTAGACTGAAGGTAATTCGCGGTGCCGTCCACGCTCACCGCACCATGCCGAGAAAACTCGTACAACGGGAGCTAGTCTACGGGGTAGGCACTGGGTTGGAGTGATCGTAGCGTTCGTTAGTCGTTTGCTTGTGTGTTCTCTGCTTGCACATTCACAGGGAGATTTTGCAAGAGTTTCACTAGCAAAGGTTGAAAAACAATCGTTTAAAATGCAAAGCAACAATGGACTACCTCAAATGCTAGCAAGCATGCAGGCCGACTGCCAGCGCAGCACGGTCGACCGCGTTCCAGCACTGCATGGTCAACCGCGCTCTAGCAGTGCAACGTCGCGGTCTGCCAACGCTGCAAGTCGGCGGCGTGACAACGCTGCAGCAAGGCGGCTGGACAGCGTTGCACCCGCAGGACAGGAGCGCACCTGCTTCGCAGGTGCTCGCAGCTGGTTGGCGTAATGTGCCCCGTCACGTTCACAGCGCAGACGCCAAGCTGACTATGTGCTCACGGCTGCACCTGATCCTCCACGTCGACCGGGCAACCAGGTTGACGTCACCAGGTCGGCGTCCTCCCAGGTCGACGTCCAGGCACCCAGAACGGCGTCCAGGCGCCCAGGTCGGCATCCCCTCCTCCCAGGTCGGCGTCCTGACGCCCAGGCCGGCGTCCAGACGCCCAGGACGCCGTCCAGATGACCAGGACGGCGTCCAGGCGCCCAGGACGCCGTCCAGGCGCCCAGGAAGGCGTCGCCCACAGCAACAGGTCGGCTGCGGTCCCCGCACACCCGACAACGAAGCCGGCTCCGCCCAAGCGAGGACGGCGCCAGCAACGTAAGTCCCATTGACACACGAGCCAGCGCATCAAATGCGCGACGCTCTCGTCGACCGAGTCGGAGTACGTGGCGGCCACCGAGGCCAGCAAGGAGGGACGCCGACTTCGTTTCCTCCTCGCAGAGTTCCAGCTGCTGCATGTTGGGACTCTAACTGTCCTTTGTGTGGACAACACGTCGGCCATCACGGTCGCTGAAGGCTTGGGTCTGAAGGGCAACCTCAAGCACATGAAACAACGTTATGCATGGCTGCAACAAATGGTAAAGCGCGGTACATCCAGACCACGAGCAGCCGGCCGACCTCCTGACGAAGGCGCTGCACTTTCTGGCCTTCAACCGGTGCTCCGTCGCAATTGGCCAAGTACGCCTGGCCGACGTTGCCGACGGCGACGACGACGTGCAGCAGTAGATGCCATGCCCTTCTGCACGGCTGGTGCGGTGACACGGCGTGCTGTGTGTAGAGGACCTTTCTCCATGTACCATGTCCCTTGGGTTCTGGGCGGCCCTATTGTGTGGGGTGCCCAAGCGTGAACGCGGCAGGGGAGTGTTAACGGGAGGAGTTGGCCCCGTCCTCGCTTGGGCGGAGCTGACTTCGTGGTCGGGTGTGCGGGAGATGCAGCCGAGCAACTGCAGTGGGCGACTCCTACTTGGGCGAGCAGGTCGACGGACTGGTCGACCTGTTCGGGGCCACTGCGAAGCCTTCGACGAAGGGAAGCCGGCGGCCGACTTCAACCGGTGGTCGCCGACGGGACTCGTCGACCTCGGCGCCGACTTGAGGGCGCCGACCGGGGGAAGCCGACTTGGTGCAGTCTGCGGACAGCTGGTCCGGTCGACCTGGTGTTGGTCGACCTGGGGGGTGGCCGACTTGGTGAAGTTGGCTGGTGGTCGTCGACTTGGATGGTCAACGAGCACGTACAGCAGTTGGTGGATATCGGCCACGCAAGTCGACGCCGAGTTGGTGGTTTCCCGGTCAACCAAATTGCCCGGGCGAGGAGGTTCTGCGGGGGTGCGCGACCGTCGCCCAGGAGGTTCTAGCGAATCCGACTTCGGATTGGTATCCCGAAGTCGACGTGACTCATCAGGCGCAGACGCCGACCGACTTAGCACGTGACGGTGCACGTTGGGCCAACCAACAGCTAGCACCTGCGAAGGAGGCGAGAGCGTGTCCGCTGCTGTTACCTGCGGATGCAACGCTGGACGGCCGCCTTGCTGCAGCGTTGACAAGCCGCCGACTTGCTACGCTGGAAATTCGCCACTTTGCAGTGCTGGAGCGCGGTCGAATTTGCTGTGCTGGAGGTCGACCTGCCTGTGTGCTAGGCAATCTTGCACCTGATGTAGTCAGTGTTGCTTTGCCTTGTTCAACCATTGTGCAATTCTCTTGCTAGTGAAACTCTTGCCGTTTTGCCCCGTGAACTCGCAAGTGCTAGAGAACACAAGGAACGCTGCGATCGCTCACACAACCTGTGCCTTCCCCCGTAGTGTAGCTCCCACGGTTGTATACTTAATCTTCGCAGTTATTTCCCATATGGTTGGTACCACGAGAAAGTGCGTTAGTTACCCATATGGTTGGTACTGAGATTAAGTGCGTTACTTACCCATATGGTTGGTACCAAGAGTACGTGTGTCACTTACCCATATGGTTGGTACCAAGAATAGGTGCGTTGCTTACCCCAATCGTTGGGTTTAAAAGTAAGTGCGTTACTTACCCATATGGTTGGTACTAAGAGTAAGTTCGTTACTTACCCATATGGTTGATACCAATAGTAAGTGCGTTACAATCAGCACTTCTCCACAAGCCCCCAGCCGGGTGATTACCATTTCCTCGAATGCCTCTGCCACTGCGTCAACCGTCTTGTGCACCAGCGGCTTCACTTCCGCCCACTCGCTCACGTGTTTTGCCATTAGGAGAATGTACCTTCTCCCTTTCGTCGTGACCGGCAGTTCCCCCGCGATATCCAACGACCATCGATAGCCCAGGCTTACTTTGGAAAGTGGCTGGAGCTCCGCCTTCTCTCGTTCCATTACTGCCCAGTTCCTGCAGCACGCCTCGCAGCGCCACACCCAATCTTTGATCTGTTTCCGTACTCCTGCCCACCACCAACCCGTCTGCACCAGCTGCTGCGTTCGAAACGGTCCGTAGTGGCCAATCTTCCCATGCACTTCTCGTATGATTTCCTCCCTCCCTCCTGGTGCCGGCACATGCTTCCATCTTTCTCCTGTCTGCAGCTGCACCTGTCCTCTGTACTATCGGTAGTGTTCTCCTCTAGCTCGCACCCTGGATGAGTTGGCTCCCCCTTCCCCAGTTTCCCCCTCAATCCAAACCAGCGCCTCCGTATCCTCCCAAATGTCTGCTGGTCCCCCTTTCTTCTCGCCCCACTCCCTCTCCTGATCTGCCCCTTTCGCCATCGCCATCAAGCAAGCGGATGGCTGCACATCTGGCGGATTGCGCGACAGCCCGTCCACGTGCTGCATTGTCTTCCCCGGTTCGTGATTGATCTCGAAATCGTACTCTTGCAGTTTCATCGCCCATCGAGCATTGCGCCCAGTCACGTCTGGTATCTGCATCAGCCACAGGAGGGGTTGGTGATCCATCACCAGCGTGAATCTCCTGCCGTGAAAGTATACGCGGAAGTGCTTCACCGCCCACACCACTGCTAGGCCCTCCCCTTCGTACAACGAATAATTGGCTTCCGCGGCGTTGCAGCTTCGGCTGGCGAACGCCACATCTTCTACACCTCCCCTTTCATCTGAGCCAGGACTGCCCCCCATGCCTGCACTGCTCCAGTCGCTGTACAGGGTGAAGGGCTGATCTGCCTTCGGCAGCTCCAGGACCGCGCCATTCTTGACTGCACCCATCAGGTCCTGCGCCGCCCTCTCCTGCTCTGGCCCCCATTCCCACTTCTGGTCTTCCCGAAGCAGTTGATTCAATGAAGTCGCCCGCCTGCTGAAGTTGGGGACGAACTTCCGATAATAGTTCAGGAAGCCCAACAGTGCTCGGAGCGTGCGCCTGTCCTTGGGCATCGCCACCTGGTCCAGCACTTCTACCTTCGCCTGCTGAATCCCTATCTTCCTTCCATCCACTTCGAACCCCAGGTATTCCACTGTCTGCTGCCCAAACTTGCACTTCCCTGGGTGGCATGCCAGTCCTGCTTCCTAGATCGCCTTTAGTGCTGCCTCCACGTCCTTCACGTGCGCCTCACTGTCGGTGCTGAACACTATCACATCGTCGATGTAGCACGCCGCATTCGGCACACCGCGCAGCACCTGGTCCATTACCCGTTGAAACTCCGCTGGGGCAGACTTCAAGCCGAACGGCATCGTATGCCACTCATACAGCCCGTCTGGTCCATGGAAGGGAATATTGTCGGCTTCCGCTATGGGTATTAGATTGAATCCATGTCTCAAGTCCAGCGTGAAAAAGACCATCACCTCGGCTAGCTTATTGAAGATCTCGTCTGGCGTCGGTGTCTGATACATTATCGTAACCTTATTCAGGCCAGGATAGTCCCCACACATGCGCTTTGACAGCACCTTGCCGGTCAAGTCCGTGCGCGCTGCCACCACCGTCGCTGCCGCGTATTCTGAGTTTGACTTCCGTATGAACCCCACTTCCATCAGCTCCTGACATTTCTCGGTACATATCGTCATATCGTCTGGCGTTATTCTCCTCCGCCTATGGTAGACTGGTATGTCAGTAGTGGGGTCAATGGTCACCTCCGCCACCTTAGGCCTCCCCACCTCCTCCAGCGAATAGCCGATCTGTAACGTGCAAGCACTTCCCGAAGCGCCTTCGCATCTTCCTCGGACATCCCACTCCTTCACTTCCAGTTCTGGTTACCGCTGTTCCCCTCCCTTCTCTCCTCCTGCCTCTGGTCCCGCCGCTTCAGTCCTTGGCTCATTCAGCTCTGGATGCTTGCCCCCAGACCCCTTCTCCCTTCCTCTGCTCTGCCTCCGTGTCCCCCTCCTCCTTTGTCATCTCCATGAGACCGAATTCCCATGGGCTTGATGAGCCGAACTCCCGCTCGTAGCTCTCCCTGTTCCTCTGTTGCTCAATTGCCTCTTCGAGCCAGCTGAAATCCTCCCTCTTTTTGTCTACTGCCACCTCTTCTCTTATGCCTGGCAACCTTATATCCGCCTGATCCGCGTACTGCAGCGGCACTTCTTCCTCCTCCTCCAATCTGTAAACCCACCTCCTCTCGATCGGATGCCCCAGCTTGTGCTGCGCCTGCTCACTTTCCTCCAGCTTTCCCAGCATCGCTCGTGCCAGCGCTTCCTTGGCCACCGCCCGATCTGTTTGGGGCCTAACTGTCATCGCCTTGCTTGAGAGTGGTACATGCGGATCTTCGCCACTAGCCAATGCATCATGTTCAGATCTATGGCTCTCCCCAGTGCCTTTCTTCGCTCCTTTTCTGTTACTTCCGGGTGCGATGTCGCATCCTCCATGAAACCCACTGCCAGCTCTCTCTCCAGCGCCGTCGGCTCCTCCTATGCCCGCGAGTCGTAGTCGTACACCATGCCCGGCCCCGGCACTCCCTCGTACACCTTTATTGCACTCGCGCCTTCGAATGAGACTAGGGTTGGCCACGCCTGGCGCGGCTTCCCCACCTCGTTGCACGGGAATTGCGTGGGATGATCCACCTGCCTTACCGGCGCGGGCACCCTCCTGGCCTCTAGTATGTCTTCTACTAGCAATGGCACCGGCCACTTCATCAGGGATAGTTGGTACTGCAGTGCGGCCTCACTCACCCCGTTCGTCCAGTACCTTCAGATGCGGTGCGTTCTGCTTCCTGATTGAGCCGCTTCACACGCCACTCCTGGGCCCAGTACTGCTGTCACTTCCTCGTGCGCGATCTGCACCCGCTCCCTCACATCCCCTTCCATGTCGACATTCTCCACGATGTACAGCACATCCCTTTGCACCTTCTTGATCAGCTTCAGCACCCTCACTAGCTTCCGAATCAACCTGCTACTCTCGTCATGCCTCTGTCCCCCCCCACTCAGAAGTACCCTCGGCACTCCTATCCGACGACGACTACATGAATTTTCCCCCATTGTCTTACGGTGGTCTCATCCACGTATCAGATATCGCTTCCTTGGGTCATGGTGCTCGCTTCGAGCGCTCCTTCGGTGGACTGGTACGAGTACCTCTTCTGCAGCTGCTCGGCATGCCACCACGCCATCTTCACCGCTTCCTCATCCTTCTTCACCAGAATCCACTTTTCAACCGAGGCGCCTGCCTTCAAGAGTGCCGCCAGCCCCGTCCCAATCCCGCCGAACAGATACAGTACAACCGTGGGCCCCAAAAGTCTCATCGTATCAGTGCACAACTACTTGAGCTCTATTCCTGACTCTTCCTGTGGTGGAGGTTGAGTCGGCATCCTGGCGATTTGCTGCCAACTAGGCACTCCGCTCTTCTCGTAGCTCTGCCTCAGTGCACTGGTATGCCTCCCTTGGCTCTCTTCGCACGAATCTTACCGGCAGCATCCCGATTGGGCCACTTTTATCCCAGTATCATGCCCGATACTCCAAACTTCTCCTCCCACATGCAGGTCGTTGACCCTACGCCGAATACGAATTCCACTCCAGTCAGCAGGTCGAAGTCTTCTGATTCTGATACTCCGCAGAACACTCGTAGCGCACACTCTTCCATCGTGGGGTTCATAACTAACGCCATTGGCTGCCTGGTTTTCGGCATCCACTCCGCCTCGCCTCCTTCCGCCGTCAGCAGATACCCTTCCGCTACTAGGCGCCCTGGCTTACGGAGTTGTAGTTTCTCCGCCAATCGTTTCCCGATCAGCACATGAGCTACGGTGATAGCCTCCGGCTCAATCGTCAGCACCGTCGCTTGGCATGCCATACGTTCCAGTGGGTGCATGTACGTGGCGCCTTCTCCATGTTCTTCTTCACTCGCCTGCCGCCTGGGACCGTCTTCCCGCTGCTCATATTGCTGAAACAACTCCCGTCGAGCCTGGCTGCGTAATCCCAGCTCCTCCCGATCGCGTGCTGGCCTGGCCATCTGCATAAACTCCGGCTCTTCCGGCTGTTCCTTTTCCTGGGCTACAATTGATGGCCGTTTCTCTTCCGCTGCTTTTAGGTCAGTTAGTTGCGCCCTCACCCGTGCAATAGTAGCCTGGCGATCAGTCGGTGTACAGGGTGAAGGGCTGATCTGCCTTCGGCAGCTCCAGGACCGCGCCATTCTTGACTGCACCCATCAGGTCCTGCGCCGCCCTCTCCTGCTCTGGCCCCCATTCCCACTTCTGGTCTTCCCGAAGCAGTTGATTCAATGAAGTTGCCCGCCTGCTGAAGTTGGGGACGAACTTCCGGTAATAGTTCAGGAAGCCCAACAGTGCTCGGAGCGTGCGCCTGCCCTTGGGCACTGCCACCTGGTCTATCACTTCTACCTTCGCCTGCTGAATCCCTATCTTCCCTCCCTCCACTTCGAACCCCAGGTATTCCACTGTCTGCTGCCCAAACTTGCACTTCTCTGGGTGGCATGTCAGTCCTGCTTCCTAGATCGCCTTTAGTGCTGCCTCCACGTCCTTCACGTGCGCCTCACTGTCGGTGCTGAACACTATCACATCGTCGATGTAGCACGCCGCATTCGGCACACCGCGCAGCACCTGGTCCATTACCCGTTGAAACTCCGTTGGGGCAGACTTCAAGCCGAACGGCATCGTATGCCACTCATACAGCCCGTCTGGTCCATGGAAGGGAATATTGTCGGCTTCCGCTATGGGTATTAGATTGAATCCATGTCTCAAGTCCAGCGTGAAAAATACCATCACCTCGGCTAGCTTATCGAAGATCTCGTCTGGCGTCGGTGTCTGATACATTATCGTAACCTTATTCAGGCCATGATAGTACCCACACATGCGCTTTGACATCACCTTCCCGGTCAAGTCCGTGCGCGCTGCCACCACCGTCGCTGCCGCGTATTCTGAGTTTGACTTCCGTATGAATCCCACTTCCATCAGCTCCTGACATTTCTCTGTACATATCGTCATATTGTCTGGCGTTATTCTCCTCCGCCTGTGGTAGACTGGTATGTCAGTAGTGGGGTCAATGGTCACCTCCGCCACCTTAGACCTCCCCACCTCCTCTAGCGAATATGCAGAAGCCGATCTGTAACGTGCAAGCACTTCCCGAAGTGGCTTCGCATCTTCCTCGGACATCCCACTCCTTCACTTCCAGTTCTGGTTACCGCTGTTCCCCTCCCTTCTCTCCTCCTGCCTCTGGTCCCGCCGCTTCAGTCCTTGGCTCATTCAGCTCTGGATGCTTGCCCCCAGACCCTTCTCCCTTCCTCTGCTCTGCCTCCGTGTCCCCCTCCTCCTTTGTCATCTCCATGAGACCGAATTCCCATGGGCTTGATGAGCCGAACTCCCGCTCGTAGCTCTCCCTGCTCCTCTGTTGCTCAATTGCCTCTTCGAGCCAGCTGAAATCCTCCCTCTTTTTGTCTACTGCCGCCTCTTCTCTTATGCCTGGCAACCTTATATCCGCCTGATCCGCGTACTGCAGCGGCACTTCTTCCTCCTCCTCCAATCTGTAAACCCACCTCCTCTCGATCGGATGCCCCAGCTTGTGCTGCGCCTGCTCACTTTCCTCCAGCTTTCCCAGCATCGCCCGTGCCAGCGCTTCCTTGGCCACCGCCCGATCTGTTTGGGGCCTAACTGTCACCGCCTTGTCCCGCTTCCGCTCACACCTTGCTTGAGAGTGGTACATGCGGATCGTCGCCACTAGCCAATGCATCATGTTCAGATCTATGGCTCTCCCCAGTGCCTTCCTTCGCTCCTTTTCTGTTACTTCCGGGTGCGATGTCGCATCCTCCATGAAACCCACTGCCAGCTCTCTCTCCAGCGCCGTCGGCTCCTCCTACGCCCGCGAGTCGTAGTCGTTCACCATGCCCGGCCCCGGCACTCCCTCGTACACCTTTATTGCACTCGCGCCTTCGAATGAGACTAGGGTTGGCCACGCCTGGCGCAGCTTCCCCACCTCGTTGCACGGGAATTGCGTGGGATGATCCACCTGCAGCACCGGCGCGGGCACCCTCCTGGCCTCTAGTATGTCTTCTACTAGCAATGGCACCGGCCACTTCATCAGGGATAGTTGGTACTGCAGTGCGGCCTCACTCACCCCGTTCGTCCAGTACCTTCAGATGCGGTGCGTTCTGCTTCCTGATTGAGCCGCTTCACACGCCACTCCTGGGCCCAGTACTGCTGTCACTTCATCGTGGGCGATCTGCACCTGCTCCCTCACATCCCCTTCCATGTCGACATTCTCCACGATGTACAACACATCCCCTTGCACCTTCTTGATCAGCTTCAGCACCCTCACTAGCTCCCGAAACAACCTGCTACTCTTGTCATGCCTCTGTCCCCGCCCACTCGGAAGTACACTCGGCACTCCTATCCGACGACGACTACATGAATCTTCCCCCATTGTCTTACGGTGGTCTCATCCACGTATCGGATGTCGCTTCCTTGGGTCATGGTGCTCGCTTCGAGCACTCCTTCGGTGGACTGGTGCGGGTACCTCTTCTGCAGCTGCTCGGCATGCCACCACGCCATCTTCACCGCTTCCTCATCCTTCTTCACCAGAATCCACTTTTCAACCGAGGCGCCTGCCTTCAAGAGTGCCGCCAGCCCCGTCCCAATCCCGCCGAACAGATACAGTACGACCGTGGGCCCCAGCAGTCTCTTCGTATTAGTGCACAACGACTTGAGCTCTTTTCCTGACTCATCCTGTGGTGGAGGTTGGGTCGGCATCCTGGCGATCTGCTGCCAACTTGCCACTCCCAGCTCTTCTCGTAGCTCTGCCTCATTGCACTGGAATGCCTCCCTTGGCTCTCTTCGTACGAATCTTACCGACAGCGTCCCGATTGGGCCGCTTCTTTCCCAATATCATACCCGATACTCCAAACTTCTCCTCCCACATGCAGGTCGTAGACCCCACGCCGAATACGAATTCCACTCCAATCAGCAGGTCGAAGTCTTCTGATTCTGATACTCCGCAGAACACCCGTAGCGCACACTCTTCCACCGTTGGGTTCATAACTAACGCCATTGGCTGCCTGGTTTTCGGCATCCACTTCGCCTCGCCTCCTTCCGCCGTCATCAGCAGATACCCTTCCGCTACTAGGGACCCTGGCCTACGGAGTTGTAGTTTCTCCGCCAATCGTTTCCCAATCAGCACATGAGCTACGGTGATAGCCCCCGGCTCAATCGTCAGCACCGTCGCTTGGCATGCCATTCGTTCCAGTGGGTGCATGTACGTGGCGCCTTCTGCATCATCTTCTTCACTCGCCTGCCGCCTGGGACCGTCATCCCGCTGCTCATATTGCTGAAACAACTCCCGTCGAACCTGGCTGCGTAATCCCAGCTCCTCCCGATCGCGTGCTGGCCAGGCTATCAGCATAAACTCCGGCTCCTCCGGCTGTTCCTTTTCCTGGGCTACAATTGATGGCCGTTTCTCTACCGCTGCTTTTAGGTCGGTTAGCTGCGCCCTTAACCGTGCAATAGTAGCCTGGCGATCTCCGTCCTCTTCGCTTCCTCGCCGCTCCCTCCGACTGGCATATCACTCTCCTTCTTTGTGCCCACGCCGCTCGCAACGCGCGCATGTCAGAGCCTCCAGACACTCTCACCGCAGTTGCGCGCGATCTCCGCTCAGTGAACAAGCCGGGGGGTTTCGGCAGTCTCTTCGAAGATGGCCGGGTTGCCCACAGTTGTGGCACCGGCGGCCCTCCGTCCTTGCCCGATCGTCCGTCCCTTCGTATGTCGCCGTTGCGGACCACGCCGGCCGCCTCCATTCTTGCCCTCGGTCGACCGTCCTCGTACAGCCGCCGGCCCGTTTCCACCCATTTTATAGATCTCGTACGCCTCCTCTAGCGTCGCCTCCACCCCCAGATCGAACACCCGCACTTGCACATCCCGTTGTTGCTCGAAGCTCAATTCGTGTAGAAATTTACCGATCATCCTCCCTTGCTCCTGACAGTCCATGTCTTCACTGAGTTCCACCAGCCGCCCGTCTTACACGAGTAACGACTCTCCCTCCCTGCGTTTGAAATTGCGGAACTCCACCACACGTTCTGCCGTTTGCAGCGGGAATTGTTCGCGCAGCATCTGTAGGAACCGTGCCGTTGGATCCCGCTCCCCCGGCGCACGCCCGGCTGCCCACTCTAGCAGTTCCTTTCGGGAGATGCGGTAGTAGGTTTCCGCCTCTCCCGCCAGAGTGTTTGCCAGGCCGCAAAAGAACTCCTTCGGATCTAGCCGATCCTTCTCCCACCGCGCCTGGAGATTCTCCAGCTGCATGATGTAGTTTTTCAGGGATGGACCCCATCTCATATCACCCGAAAACCTCTCGGGGACCTCAATCTTAGGCAGCTGGGTGTACCTCCATCGGTGCACCGTCGTCTCATCCTCCTTACTCTGCCATGAGGAACTGCGCTGGTACCCGCTTGGCCCATCTTGGCGGGATCGAGACAGTGCGCCTCTCTGCTGATGTTCTCCCGATCCTCCGTTCGGTATGGTTCTTCCGCCGCCCGTTTCTTCCGTTCGAGCGCCGCCTTGCGGGCCAGTTGCCCTGTCGCTGGGTCCATTCTGACCCTCTACATCTCCTGCTTCGGCAGCTGATCCTCATCCCGCCGCTCTCCTCCTTCCCCGTTCATCTCATCGAGTCCTTCTCGCTTTGGCTCCGGTAATACTAACTCGTTTCCATAGCGCAGTCGCATCGACTGCATGTGTGAAAGTTCTAACCGTTCCTACTCCATTCTGCCTGTTGTTGTGGCTTCGCTTGGTACTGCTAATCTTTAGAAAACAAAAGCACAGTAATTCGCAAAAACACACAAGCAGTGGCAGTCCCATGGCCCAGGATCTCCCCCAGGATGTCCCTTATGCCTCCCAATTTTTACCCTAGGCTAGGTAACTACATTGAACGAACGCAATTAACCTAGCTTGCCATCCAAATCGCCTGCCTGCTTCGTCCAGCTGGCTGCAGTAACTTCCAGCTCTTCCCAGACTCAGTGTCTGCAAGGGAAACGAAAACGAACACATGCACACCACTCAGACATTCCATTCGCCAACCCTCTGCCCGCTCCTTACAGCCTTCTCAGTTACCGCCCCCTTGCCTTGCCCTTCTTCACCGACCCCCATTGCTTACTCCTCACTGCGCACCCTCAACTGCCGAGACACCCACCCTCCCTTCCCACTGGCCACCCCATACGCGTCTCCCACTCCTTCGTTTATGTACAAATGTACGAACACTTCCTTTATGCTCGCTCCACTTCCCACTGTCAGAAATACTTAGGAAATCACCGTAGTATTCTGACATATGGTTGCTTAGTAAGTGCGTTACTTACCCATATGGTTGGTAATGAGAGTAATTTTGTAACTTACCCAACTGGTAGGTACCAAGAGTAAGTGCGTTACTTACCCATATACCCATATGGTTGGTACCACGAGTAAGAACATTAATTACCCATATGGTCGGTACCAAGAATAAGTGCGTCATGTACCCATATGGTTGGCTTTAAGAGTAAGTGCGATACTCACCCATATGGTTGGTACTAAGAATAAGTGTTTTACTTACCCATATGGTTGCTACCAATTGTAAGTGCGTTACTATCCCATATGGTTGGTACCGAGAGTAAGTTTGTAACTTACCTATACGGTTGGTATCAAGAGTAACTGCGTTATTTAACCATATCGTTGGTACCAAGAGTAAATACGTTACTTACCTATATGGTACGTACCAGGAGTAAGTATGTCATTTACCCATATGGTTGGTACCAAGAGTAAGTACGTTACTTACCCATATGATTGGTACCAGGAGTAAGTGCGTTACTTACCCATATGGTTGGTACCAAGAGTAAGTGCGTTACTTACCTATATGGTTGGTACCAAAAGTAAATGTGCTACTTACCCATATGGTTGGTACCAAGAGTAAGTGTGTTGCTTACCCATATCGTTGGTTATAAAAAGAAAGTACGTTACTTAACCATATGGTTGGTACTAAGAGTAAGTCCGTTACTTACCCATATGGTTGGTACCAATAGTAAGTGCGTTACTTACCCATATTGTTGGTACTGAGAGTAAGTTCGTAACTTACCCAACTGCTAGGTACCCTGCGTTACTTACCCATATGGTTAGTACCACAAATATGAACGTTACTTCCCCATATGGAGGGTTCCAAGAGTAAGTGCGGCACTTACCCATATGCTTGGCTTTATGAGTACTGGTTGGTACTGAGAGTAAGTTCGTAACTTACTTATATGGTTGGTACTACGAGTAAGTGCGTTCATTACCCATATGGTTGGTACCAGTAGTAAGTACCTAATTTACCCATATGGTTGGTACCAAGAGTAAGTGCATTACTTACCCATATCTTTGGTATTGTGAGTAAGTTTGTAACTTACCCATATGGTTGCTACCAAGAGTAAGTGCGTTACTAACCAATATGGCTATCTAGTAAGAATATGTGTGTTACTTACCCTTATGGTTGGTACTAAGAGTAAGTGCGTTACTTACCCATACGGTTGGATTTAAGAGTAAGTGGGTTACTCAACCATATGGTCAGTACTAAAAATAGGTGCGTTACTTACACATATGGTTGGTACCAATAGTAAGTGCGTTACTTACTCATATGATTGGTACCATGAGAAAGGACGTTACTTACCCATATGGTTGGTACAAAGAGTAAGTTTGTAACTTACCCAACAGGTAGGCACCAAGAGTAAGTGCGTTACTTACCCATATGGT